CACTTTGCCCTTCTGTTGTAGATTTGCTGCTGCGCTTGGGATTATAGTCCAGTTTCATGACCCGGTTTCAGCCAAGCTTAAGCTGTTGATCACCTTCCTCCACCACCGTGCTTGGCAGTTGGTATGAGGTGTTTGGGATGATATGCTTTAGTTTACACCAAATGTGACGTCTCCACTTTGGTAATTTCATCTTTCCATCTTGGTCTTGTAGTGTCTTTAGATCCACCCGGCAAATCTAAGCTGTGCTACCATGTCCCTTTCTCTTGTTTCTAGGCTTCGTCTTGGCTACTCTTCCAATCAAATCATTTGTGTTCAATCTTCCACTTGTACTGCCACAAACCTCAACATTTAACTTGCTAAATGAGGCCTGTAGAGTCTGAAATGTAGCTCTTGCGTTTTTTGTTATTTCTCTGAACATTACATGGTCTGACTTGAATTTGATAGGATGTCAAATCTTAGCCATGTGTTAACAAACACCTGAATGCTCCAGATCAGCAAACTATGAAATATTCTTCTTTTGTACAGGTGATGATACTTGCTGATGATCAATTAGGCGAGCGCATCTGATTAGCAACAACTGGCTATTTATGCTCATAATTCCTGTGGAAATAGTAAGGCTGTACACATTCCTATAAAAAGTTTTCCACAATTGTATTAAATGGTGCAGGACTGGTGGACTTGATAATGCATAATACTGGGCTTACACTGTACGATTTTTGGCCCGTTTTGAGCCGATTTTTGAGTCGTGCGACCGTTTTGGATCTACACTGCTGCTCAATCACAGCTGCCTGATCAATGTTTTTCATTAGCAATTTAGCAAAGTTGATGGTGGTGTGCGTGTCTGTGTGAGTGAAAGACAGAAAGGGAGAGCGAGCGACAGAATTTCTGTTATAACCTTCATTTTATGGACGCACAGTTTGAGCACTCGGGTCGCATCAGAGCATCGGGTCATATAGTGTGAGACCCTGCATTGTGACCTACGAACTTCTAACCCCTACGAGTCAATCGTACAGTTTAAGCAGGAGCTGAATCGCACGACTGAAAAAATCGCACAGTGTGAGCCCGGCATAAGATAATAGCCCGGCATAAGAATGACACTCTAGTCTACTGGTTGAAGGTCTTGTGGATTATGCCCTCTCCAGCCCTCTTTAAGCAGACTTTGTCTGTTAGAGTTGAATCAGCTTCTTAATATTAAAAAAAACAAAAAATGCCTCTATACCCTTTGTTGCAACCTAGTTTCAACATCTGGCTTCACTCGGTGTATACATGACTACCAGACTTTTCATTTTCTCAATATTAGCAGTAGGCTTACAAACAATCTGACACACAGTCTCAGCAGCACATGACTGCACAGAAATATTGTAATTAATACATATATTTCAAAACATAAGCAGTTATTAAA